ACACCACAAAGTCTGTAATCGTGTCCATATGAAAAACGGGATGGAACGGGAATCTTAGCGCAGACGATACCTCGAAAACAGTATTTTTCACCCCCGGCACTAATCATGAATACAATAAGTGAATTCATGTCGAAAAAAACTATTTTTTTTTGTAAGACTAGTCTCAAAGTTTAATATTTGTTCAAATTTTAAAACAATCAATATGACATGCTTTGGAAAACATTTTTTGGTGGTATGAGTAATAGTCTGCTAATAATAAACAATAAATAATTATAACCAGAGTTGTTTGTAGCTATTCCGAGTAATTTTTCGTATTGCGTTATTTGCCTTAAAACGATAAGTTGCTTAATGACAAAAAATGAACGGTAAAACACGAGGTTTCGACCAAACTTCGTTCATTTTCAATTGAGTAGTAAGAATTTCACGATGAATACATATGCGTGAGTATTAAGAAGTATAAAATTTTTCAGAAGTGTAAACGGACAATAAGAACATACAAAGAGAGGAAATGATTAGAAGCCAATTAAAAACCAAATTAAAAATTAAAATTAAAATTAAAAACTTGATTAAAATTAAAAACTTTGCACGAATTGAAACCGACTGCACGTTGAGAGCACGTCTCAGTTCTTGAATAAAAAACATTTCATAATGTAAGCAGTCAAATTCGTTCGTACACTTCTTTATAACACTAAAATTCTTCGTAAGATCCCTTGGGACCAAAGAATACTTGTCGCGAAAATGCTTGCCAATCGTGAAGTTGAGTTTCTGTGTTCTTGAACACGTTGGTGCAGATGGCGGCGCGTAAAACCAACTTCTCAAACTCATTAATAATTCATGCTGATAAAACAAAGGAAATTTCAACCATGAAGGAGGTTTGGATATGTGATCTTAATTATAATAAAATTTGGTGGACTTTTGCTTCGATTTTCTCCAAGAATTATTAATGGTTTGAGAAGCTATATCAAACATTCGAAAGGGTGTTTCATCTGATATCCAAACACCTTGAAGTTTGTTAAAAAAACTCGGCTGCGCCTCTTTTTTTCAACCACTTGTCGGTGTTTAGATATCGGATGAAACACTCTTCCTCGTGTTTGATATTTTACATAACCTGTTTCGCACAGGTCACATTTAAATTTGTAAACAAGGCACTCTTGGTTCACAACCGGTGGCTTCGACTCTCGTAACTTGAGATCTTGTTCGATCTTGAGGCTAACAAACACAGGCTGTATGGTCGTGTCGATCTTCTGACTTAAATCTTTAAGTTGGACACGTACAATATGAGCCGAGGCCTGATTATTAAACGGTAGGACAACACGAATGGGGTCTGTTCGATGGCTGAAAGTCGGTGTCGGTGCCCAAAAAGGGAAGCATGCTAGTACTCTCCGTCTCCGTGGTAAACTTAATAGAAGAATTGCACTGATTTAGAATCTTGAGGAAATTGACATGGTAGGTAGTAAACGTAAACTGTTCGCAAGACCAGACTCATATAGTTTATTCATAAGAAAATTTTTTAGAAAAATTGCGAGTGCGATATATTTATTACTTGTAATTTACCGTCACCATTTCTTATCAATTACTTTCCAGAGTAGTTCGTTTTTCCGCCACATTTAAAAGCGACATTTAATCAACTAACTTACGTTTAATTTTGGGAAATAATAACACTATGACAGATGTGTGCATCTTAGTTGAATACTTATGTTAATTCAAGCTTCAAATTTTAAAACTTTACTAAGTGAATAAACACCATTATTAATTCACAGAATCCCGCCTTTATTCTGAACTTTTTAAGGGTATACATCGCAAGAATTAATTGTAAAAACACAGCATGTAACCGGGAGGAAATGATGTCTCATTATCTTCCCTTTTTGTCACCGAAGAATGTCTCAGTCATAAAGGTGATTAGAAATGCAAGGAACAATCGAGAACTTTATCGTTGTTTCTCAAAAAATATATCGTGCGCGCGTTATAAACGAGAAAACGTAAATGAAGAGGTGTTGGAGTGAATGTTTTTAATCAATTTAAAATTTTTAAAAAATCCTCAACGAAACTCAAAGTTCTTAACTATCAATCAATTGATTCTGTTTTGCGATGAGTAGACTATTTTCTTCACTTTAGGTTTTGAAAACAACTTGGAAACATTCTCTTGTCTTATTGTCAACTAGGCGTCTTTAAAAGAAGGGAGAACAGGCTGCTTTAATAGGCTTCCTTTTCTCTTCGTTATAGCGGACAAAATTGAATTTGCTTGCAGAATTGCTTGCAGGGAAAATAAATTGGCATCTGTGACCTAAGGATAATTTGGAATTATAGTTTTATGCTTTCGGAAATTGTCACGGTTTTCATTTTCCTTTACCAAAGGATTACCGTTTTCAGCCTAAACTTTTTAAAGGTATAAGACATGTCAATATCACGCAGTTAAATTTAGAGTCAGATCATCACCTCCCCTTTCGATGAAAATTTATCTAGCTTACGAAGAGTTTTTCGGCGGGGCCATATGTTTCCTCGAGGCTTGCCCCCTAATATTTAATTCAAACCAGAGGCGAACGCAAAAATTTTTTACGCTGTCAGTAACAAGAAAGCAAGGTTTCAGTGAACGTGGCTGGGTGGGTATTGTTAAGACGTATTTCGCTTCTCGTTACAGTCAACCAACAAGAAACTACCGTGGAGTGATGACCACAGCAAACGTCACAAGAGATGGACCACAAACGGAAACATATATAGATGCCCTATGCTTCCCCTCTTTGGTAGATGGACTTCAACAAAAATCAATTTCTTTCTGTGCTGTCAGCATTCTCTTTTCCACCACAGCACTCCTGGGGAATTCTCTTATCCTTATTGCCCTTCACAAGGAATCTTCTCTTCACCTGCCCTCGAAACTCTTGTATCGTTGTCTGGCAACGACTGATCTGTTAGTTGGCCTTGTTGGCCAACCCCTTGATGCTACCTACTGGAAGTCCTTTGCTAACGAAGGGTGGAATCTTTGTCGGTTCGCACTCGACGCTAAATTTATCATAGGCACTGTATTATGTTCAGTGTCGTTATTGTCGATGACGGCCATAAGCTTGGACAGACTTCTAGCCCTGTTGTTGGGGCTGAGGTACAGACAAATTGTAACTTTAAAACGCACATATGTGATTGTCGCTATTTTTTGGGTTCTGTCCGGTGTAGCTGGCTTATGCTTCATTTTAGATTACCGCATCACCCTCTGGTATTGGTATATAATTATACCATCTTGTATAGTAATGTCTATCGCCTCGTACACAAAGATCTTCCGCACTCTCACTCATCATCAGGCTCAAATACAAGATTCTGTTCAACAACAGCCGAGCCAAGCAAATCAACTTAACATTGCGCGATACAAAAAGGTAGTAAACAGTGCAGTGTGGGTGCAGTTGGCATTAGTTGTTTGCTATGCGCCTTATCTTTTAGTTGAAATTACGCTGGCTTATATCAAAACATATTCTTTACATCTTGTCGTCATCAGGGGAATAGCAGTTATTTTAGTTTACGTAAACTCCACATTAAATCCTTTTCTTTTCTGTTGGAAAATCTATGAGGTAAGACAAGCAGTAATACAGATAATCAGACAAGTATTTCGCTGTCCATGGAGTTAGACAATTCTCCACTTTTGCCAATATATCTGCTTCTAAATAAATTTATGGAATTAAAGTTGTAAGAAGATTGGGAGTGCATCATATGTTTCTCAAGTAGAAAAGTCAGAAGATTGATAAAACTTGAATGAACTATTGTTAAAAGAATATTGTATTTAATATCAAGTGAAAGCAAGCATAAAAAATTTAAGTTATGTATCATAATTATTTTGCCTAACTTAGAAGCAGTATCGCGATGGTTACGAACCTTGTCACCTAACCTCAAATTGGCGTTTTAAAGTTAAGGGTTTGTTACAAACCCCTTAAACAAGACAGCCATAGCCTCGACTTAATTATCATTTTCAAGGTGTTGTCCATGATGGTAACGACTTTTAAGTACTGAAGATTTCTTTTACTCCTAAGCTATATTTCTAGAAATGTTGAGATGAAACTGATGATCCCTGTTCTCATTTTTAAGATCAGTCATTTGACAGAAAGTTTGCAAATTCATTAAGGAAGAAACCTATTAACAGACGCAACTGAATAGTTCTAAATGCTTGATATGAACGGCTGCCACACAACTCGTTACCAACAAACACTTTTTGTTCGAATAGAAGTTTTATCGATTTGAATTCTGAGAGCAATTAACATACTTCTCTTTAAGCCCTCTGGTATTCGAGTAACTTTAATTACCAAATAAGGATATTCAAGAACTTTGTTCAACTCTCGCATTCATGCAGACATAACATCTCATCTAAATTATTACCCACAAGGGAATAGCGCTTCTCGTGCAAGCTGATCAGTAAGTACTATTTATCTCCGAGCAGAAGAGACTAAATTAAGCCAAAGGAGTTTAATTATTGACCATTTTCGTTATACTGACTACGATGAACTAATTTTTTGGCTTCTGTAAAGTATACTGTAAAAAAGTATTATCCTTACCAGTGGATATTCACCTCCACTTCGGTGATAATTGTTACAGACAGGAAAACTTTTTCGTATCTTTTTTTATTTGAGAGAGAGATAAAACTTCCAACACACTCATTAAAACTCAATCCCCAGGCTCCTAGTTAAGACGATCTAGGAGACAATGTCGATGAGAATGTTTGTCCTGGTTCACTTACGTCAATCTTCTGTCTGCATCTTTGTCCTCTGGACACCTGCTATTGTATGAAAGGATTCCAGTAACACGCCCATTCCAAAGGTAACACGTCCTTAGCATAAGGGCGATATCCGCCCCAATTCATTGACCCCCTTACTGTATTATCTATAGTCCTTTCTGATTACCGTCAATCTGGGAAAATGTGGATTCCGATGGCTTTCAGCCAGCGCAAGAGTCTCTCATTTTTGTCATTATGATTAACGATTTGAAGTTAACATTCAAACGCTCCAGTTACTGGGAGTATGTATTTAGAAGATATGAAGATTTCGGAGATTACTCCAGCGCGAGGGTTGTCAATACTTCAAGGTCAGTTTGACGCAATTTGCACTTGGAAAAGCAACAATAACATGATGTTAAACCCCAAGAAGTGCAAGGAGTTGCCTGCTTCCTTCCATCGCAACAATGAGTAACCCCTACCGAGGATGACCGTGGGCACCAATAAGCTAAGAAAAACTAAATCTCAAAAATGACTAGGTGCAGCAATCCAGAACAATTTCAAGTGGGACTTACACGTCACTGAGATAGTAACCAAGGCGTCTAACAGGTTGCACGTTTTACTAGTCCTTAAGCGCGGTGGCACTCTATCACCTGACTTGCTGCGAGAGCACTTAACACTCATAAGATCTGTACTTGAGAGCTGTTGCCCTATATTGCATACATCATTAACCGTTCACTTGTCTGACAAAATTGAGCGGATACAGAGTGGTGCTTTAAGTATTTTTCATCCCAAAAAAGGTTATGGCGAAGCCTTGGACCACGCCAATTGCGCGTCTTTGCACGCAGACGTGATGCACTGTGCGTAAAAACGTTTCAAAAAAATACGGGAGTCTGATTTACGCCTGAGCCACCTCGTCCCACCGACCTAGGTGAGCACGCACGGCCGTAACCTTAACAACAGACTAACATTATTTGCGTGTAAGACTGAGTGTTTTAAAAAGAGTTTTTCCTTGCAATGTGCCTCCAGACGCACAGTTTTTTAATTTCATAAATTTTCAGTCGGCAAGTTTAAATTTAGGCATTCCCTTTTCATTACTTATTATTAACATATGAACTTGTGAAGTGTATATGTGCACATGTAACGCCTAGTCCAATTTTATTGGAACTATTCTTTAGCACTCTTATCATTTAAATTGTACATAATTTCAAAATTCGCTTTTAAGTATGTTGATTTTATGATAAAAATCATTACTATTTTTATTATTATGGTCATTGTAACTTTAAGTTTTTATGAGAAAGGGTAAATAGAAAATGAAGGAGATTGAAAGTCAAAAGATGGTAGAGAGGTGGGTCCTTATAGATTGTGCAAGCACAATTTTTGTATTATTTGGTTAAAATAGCATAAGTTTTGCTCTTTCTATTGGAGTAACTCCACTGCCGTAGTCAGCGAATTTCAGTTTTTTTTTTTTAAAGGGATATTAGCAGAGTCGTAACTTGTTTGGTCTCTAAGATTTCTTTTTTTCAAGTTCGGTTCATGGTTCTTCGATTTTCAATTTTTCAATGTCTTGGGGTAGGAAGGTTACCTCAATACTTCGTTCGTCGTCCAGAGAATTGGGCACACCGGAAGTAATGGTTGCGTCGGTCCCATTTCCCGCTTCACAGGAACAAAACGGCGTCGGAAAGAGACGTGACGCAAACATCGCATATTTGACAAACAAAGTCACGCTTCTTGTCTAACCTTTAGTGCAGTAATTAATTATGTTTTATCAGAGCAAGTATGTAACTCAGAATAAAGAAGATATCATGCCTTATTAACAATAAATGTATATGATTTGGACTTTTTGGTAAAAAGAATAAAAAAAAGTTGACACTGGCTAAAAAAAATTTTATTGTTCTGGACGTTTCGGCTACTACTGTTGCTTTCTTCAGCGAAGATAAAAATGCAAATGTCTAACGGCGTCCTGCTTGGTACATGTCCACGATGTGTGATAAAATTAATCTCGAAGGAAGCTTTTTAAGTGTAACAATAGTCTCTAGAGTATTCTTCATGTTATTGTCTATGTTTGCTAGCGTTACGTGTCCGTTTATTGTATTTCTGTCTTGCATGGAATGCCAAGTTTCAAGAATTAATTCAACACTCTCCAAATCTATTTGGTGACTATGAAGCATATGGTGTTTGGCCAACAAAGAGTTTTTAAACACAATCACGATCTTTACATTCGATGTTGTTCACAATTCCTCTGGAAGCCTCTTTCTCGATCTTGTCTGTTGGCTTTTTAAGTATGCTCGAGATGGAGCGGATAGGATAGGATAGGCGACCTTGATGTTGAAACTTCGAAGAACTTTTGTGACTCTTTTTTTTTATTCTTTCTACCAAAATTTGTAATAAGCCTGGCAACACACCGAATATGATTTGGACTTGTTTGTGTTTCTTTTTTGAAAAGCATATTTTAAGAATAAGTAGCATAATTTTCAAAAACGAGTATAATTTGAAAAATAATGAAGCAATGCTAGTAGCATAAAATGCTACTCTTACTAAAACAACCATAAAGGCCAATGTAGAGGGCGGGTAAAATTGTTTCCGATGGGCCAATATTTTAGTTCTCCCTTTTTTCTTTTCAAAAGAAAGTTTTCTCTTGTTAAATTCTAGTCCAGTTCGAAAGAAGAAAGAAAAGCTGGAAGAGTTAGTAAATTACAAGGATAAATTTTAACATTTGTTTAAAATATTTAACAACGGAATTGAAAAGTAACTGCAAAAATTAAATAAAGTGTCTTGGTTACTCGGGGCTTCCTCAGTCTTTTTACACGGTATAGAATATTCCATTTTTCTATAATTATAGGTTTAGTTTATAAAAAAAACTCCAGAAAATTCAAGTCAGACATTTTGTATAAAGTTATTTGCAATTTTAGCGTAGAATGGTTTCTCATAGGGAAAATTTGGGCATATTGCAATCTATTTTCTCTGCACAGCGAACCAAAAAGAAATACAGCAGTATGGACGAGCTACCACCAAACTTAGTTTGGCGTGTTACTGTCGGTCAGAAACCCAAGCATTCTCTAAACAATCGATGCGTCGTTCAGCCGCCATCTTCCCACAATCTTTAGTCGACTCAGGACCTATTACCTCATGATTTGCAGTTACTAGACTCTCACTAATTGGCCGCGGCGCGTTAACGACCAGAGGAGTAACTAGGAAACCTCTCCTCTGCCGGCAAAATAGCAGCTGTTTAAAGTATTGCTGGAATCGTTCGCTTTGGAAGCCGTATATAACAGGGTTTATGGCGGAGTTAAATGTTACCATGACAACGGACGTTATGTACGGGATACCTCCGAACTCATAAGCATGGTGATAGTGACTAAGGGGGTACAGAATCAATTGAGGAAACCAGCTCACGGCGTAAATAACGCTTACAATCAAGACGATCTTTGTAACTTTTCTTCTCGACTTTCGCACTGCTATTTGCACGTTACCGTTTAGTTTCTTAAACCACAGATCGTGGACGACTCTAGCGTACAAGGATATCATTATGGTGGCTGGGATGATTCCGACAACTACGAGCCAACTTGTGGAATTCGCTTTGCCGAAGCCTGGGCTTGGCCATGCTTCTAGGCAGAACATATTCTCTTTGTCGTAGTATATGGCGAAGAACAACGGAAAGTTGAAGGCAATGGTAAAAATCCAGCAAAAGATGACAATGATCTTTACTTTTGACATGGAAAATTTGGATACGGCACTGTAAGGGTTTGTAACTGCTTGATGACGTTCAAATGAGATTGCAACGAGCGAGAACACCGAGGCAACGCCTCCAATCCAGGAGAGATTCCCACCAGTAATAAACTTACATATCAAATCGCCAGTCATCCCAATAGGATGACTAAATGCATGGATAAAAACATACTGTGGGCTGATAAAGGTCACTGCAAAGATATCAGCCACTGCTAAGTTTACAAGAAGGTAATTCATAGGTGTCCGCATACTTCTGTATGAATAAACCACCAAACAGACCAAGATATTGCCAACTAGACCAACCAACACCAGGGCACAGAATAAAAAGGTCAGCACAATATCCTCAGAATTCAACATGGCTTCCTTTCTGTTGAGGAATGAAAGAGACAATTATTAAGAAAAGGACACATCAAGATTATAAACTGGAATAGATACGTAATCATAGCTGACTTATTAATTTCACGTGATATCTGTTAATAAAAATCGTGTCACAAATTCAAAGGAGAGGTATGATCAGCAAGATATGTTTTGGTTTCCAATTTACGAAAAAGAACTCCGAAACTAGTTAAAGAGGCATTTTATTTAATTCGGTTGTTGTTTTTTCTTCAGAATCACATTTTAGTTTTGCATTTCTAAACCCGTGTGCAATCAATTTGATGTAGACGTTGATACCAAGATTTGAGGAGGCTGATATAGAAAAAGAATCCAGCTTATAAATTGGCGCTGCATTCCCACGGTTCACTTGCATTTTCTCAGAACGTGAATTCTAATTTGGGACTTGCACTTCAAATAAATAAATAAACCAAAACAACAATTCATGTTTTTCGATAAATTTCGAGTTTCTTGAAAGAAAGGAAAAGTCAGTTTTTTCTAGAATCCTTTTGGGGTTTTCCAGCGCGTGTCCTTGCCTTGTAGACATATCAAGTCATGTTAAGACTATTAAAGTTCAAATTCTTAAGTTTCATATGGTAAAATTTACTGCGTTTGACTAGGCCGGACGGGAATAGATTTGGCTTTCGGTCATGACGTACCTTAAGACCTTAAGCCTACATTCCCTTGCGCTCTCTCTTACTAAGTCAGTAAGTTCATATTCTATGAACTTGACCAAAAAGTATTTTCTCATAAAAGTGATAAAAAAATACTTCGATAGATCTTAGTCGTAACGTTTTTTGAAGAAAATCAAAGTACTTTCGCATTCGTCTCTAAACATGCTAAATATCATTAACTTTGGAGACACATTTTCCTTTGATTCCCATCCCCAAAACAAATAAGTCCTAAAGTCATACGTAACAGTGCACTAAAGAATTGGTTATGTTAAGCGTGCGTATATCCAGTGATAGGATCACTGTAAGTAAGTCATAGTAAGAGGATGCTAAAACGAACCACGAATTTCTTGCATGTGCGACACCGCGTAATAGATTAAGCATACTTGAATCGTTATTTACTAGAATTCACGGCCAGAAAATTGCGTAGGTTTGTAATGCAAATTCTGAAATTGTACGATTTTAAATTAAAATAACTCATTAGATAATAGTTTTAGGACATATAAACCTTAAAAAAAATGTTCACCGCTCGAAAAACGAAGCGAAAAACGAACCCTTGTTTACTAGAATTTAAGACCAAAATTTGCGAGGCTTGGCGATGAAAATTCTCAAATTTGCAGTTAAACCAAAATCCTCTATTCAACAACACCTTTGGGACATATTAGCACTTAAAAACAAAATTTACATTTCTAAAGAATTATCCCCTATATCGCAAAGCCTCACTTGAAGTCAAAAAGATGACTGTTCTTTTCCAGCCATAATTCGCATCGCGTTTGGCAATGAAGTATCATTAACTCCAAAGCTAATTTCGTCACTTAAAAGAGCTACATTCTCATTTTTGTTTTCGAAATAAGTATTGTTTAGTATATTTACTTTTCATTTTGAGCTCCAAAAGGTCTATCTCAATCCGGATGGAACTGAAAAACAGTGTTGAAAGGTTTGAAACCTCGCGGCTGAACTCGACGGGAACTTGCAGCTGAAGAAAAAACTGCAAACGTCATGTTACGGTGCACGGTGTCGCGCGAATGTGTAAGTGCAAATACGAGCCTGCTGCCGTTTAAGTATCGGACATCAGTGAGTTTAAGAACGACGAAAAATGTGCTATGCTTATGTTCACGTCTCATGCAATCCTTAAATCAATCCTCAAATCAATCCTCACGAAGTACTGAATAAAATGTCTTAGTGGAGATAACTCAACAAATTTTCACTTACCTGAACAAATGATACAAAACAGGCAGGAACTTACAAGAAAGATATCGTTTGCTGTCAGCTTTACAAGTCATGCTAAACCGTCGGACTTATGATGGAGACAGTAAATTATGCAAAACAGCTCTTATTCACACCTAATAAAATAATTGTCACTGAAAACCGTTCAACTCACCAAGTCTGATTGCTCAGGTGAAGCCGGCTGCATTTGAAGTTTCTCTTTACGTATGTACAGATCAATCACCCACAGTAATTGCTCTTCATTGTGCGTTGAGGTATTAAAAATAATTACCTGCCGCTCGCAAAAAAATTGAAATAAAGTCTTCAGGAAAATCCCTTAGATTCTACATATATTAGCCGTTATCGATCTCCTTTCTGCTTCAATCTATTTTCCGTCTTTCAGCGAAACACGCCAATAACATATTAGTTCGTGTCGTTTGAATGGAAATTTGGACTGAGCCCACTTAGAAACATTGAACAATGTGTAACCTAGTTGTATGAGCCAATTAAGTTAAAGAATCATAACTTTGCCGCTTACTAGTAAGTCTTGCTATTGGCTAATCATAAATTACCTTATTCATGTAATGCTTCCGTTAATGTCACCTAATAAAGCTCTCCTGCTCACAAGGATTAATTGATTATCTAAATGACAAGCCGGCCAAAAAATATATTTTATCAATTGAGAATTTCCTTTCTTTACCGGTGGTGAAATTTGTAATTTGCAATTTTAAAATGGAACCGATGAACACAAGAATATTGCAGGTACTTGAGTCGACGTTATATAATTAATGTTATCTATTTGTTTTGTCAAGGTATGCTTAATATGAATTTTGCGCCGAGAACGTGAAAAAAGGTATGCTAAATGTTATTTTTTTTAGTTGATGAGTATCGTGATGCCCATTTTGGCGTGCAAACTAAAGCAACAAATTTATTTTCCGTAACAAATGTAAGTTTATCTCTCATACCTTCATCAAATGATTGAAAATATATGTACTTTTCAAGTCGAACTCAGAAAATTGCACCGGCGGGACGTTTCGATCGACCACTAGCAGGCCAAATATTAATACCCCCTTATCTGCATTACGCGTTGCGATGTCATGGACTTGCAGCCTTATTTTATCAGCTTCGAACTTGTGGATGAGTTAAATTCATCTTTGTAACCCTCATGAATACATGCACAAGTGCCAGTGATGTGAGGTAAACAAGCAAGAATGTCTAATAAATTCATTTTCTTTCAGCTTAACCGCACATAAGTAGCTTTAGATGACCATTCTAAAGTTCCTGACACAAACGTCCCCTTTAGTTGGATCATGCTATCAAAATTATTATTTCATAAAGTAAATGCATTCCTAACAAAGTATGAAAAATCTGTCTTTAAGAATTGTTACACTAGTATTGATTTAAGACGCTTAAGTTACAAGAAGAGCACGTAGGAGAAAATATTATTTCCTCACCGTCCAAGACCGTCCAAGCGATACGGATATTTGACCAACAGTAAAACTGTAAACATAAGTGGACATAACAACTCGTATTTGATAAGTGCTCGTGTTGAAAGACATTCAGAGGAAGAATATCAGAGGTAATCTTTTTTAAATTACAATTTAGCGTATCCTCGTTGACTAGGAAATTAAGGAGTCATTGAAAATCTCAATTGATAAATTAAAGTGCATGGAAAATATCGAATAATTAATATGACTATTTTCGGAAGGATTTCTGCTGTGCGATATCAATCATTTCATTTCTCAAAAGCAATGACAGGGCACTATTTGTTAAACATTGGGCTCTTAACTTTTTGAAAACCCAATCAACCTATGCAACCACGTACTATGAAACAAGTGCATGCATCTGCTCATTGTACGTTTTATGAATACAGAGCTACTATTATCTCTTAAAACTATGAATGGTGTATCATTGGAACAAGTACCCTCAGCTAAACTTCTTGGTATAGACATTGACCACGATTTATCAATGAACACTTATGTTGACAGACTGTGTAAAAAAATTTCACAAAGAATTGGAATTTTGAATAAGATCAAACTTTGTTTACCATTTAACCAAAGACTTTTATTTTATAATAGTTTAATTAAGCCATTATTTGATTATGCCAATGTTGCATGGCAGTCACTTTGCTCTAATGAATCTCTTTTAAGAATACTTAGGCTACAAAAGAGAGCTGCTAGGGTTTTATTAGATGCTGAACCATGTAGTTCATCAGTTATGCTATTCAATCGTTTAAAGTGGATACCATTTTATGACTCTACTAAGATGGCTAAATGTTCAATACTATTTAAAAGGATTAATTATTGTGTACCTAATTATCTTAATGATAGCTTAAGATTATTAAGTTCAGTACATTCACGCAACACTAGATTTTGTAAATACAACTTTTTATTACCTAAGTTTAAAAGGGCTAGAGAAGGAGGGAAAACTTTTCTAGTTTCTGCCATAAAATTATGGAATCAGTTAAAGCCTGAATTAAAAAAGTCTAATACACTTAAGGCCTTTAAAGACAACGTATTTAAATATTACTATAAGGACCAATCATGCTTAGCTCATTTTAATCCGTAAATTTTATTGATAGTAGTTTTATATATTCTTACTTGTTTTAGCTAATTTTCTATTTATATTTCATTCTATTAATGATTCTATTGTATTTATATATTTATTGTAATTAGGAGGACCACAAGTTTATTAGTGTTTGTGCACTATCACGTGCTATCCTCAATAAATAAAGTCTTACTACTACTAATTCACAATTTTTTCTTTCTATCCACTATAACCTTCTGGGCTTTAGTAAGCAACGAATTATCAAGACTTCTTAATGTAATTATAAGGATGGAATGGTAGAATTCTAAATCACTAATGCCGGTATATTTAAAGGCAAGCATATTCTTGATTTGCGCAAACGAAACAATCAGTGGTGTCAATTTCCCAAAGTACGAGCCGGCCAGCATTTTACGCGCCACATTTTTGTTAGACTTCTCAGTCCCGTGCGAGCAACTCGCGAGATGCATGTGAAGCAGTGCCGAATAATAACCTGTTTGCCAGCTGCCAAACAAGAGAGTCGTGAAAAATATGGTAAAATCTACCGATTAACTTTTCTCCATTAACAAGGTTTATTGTGAAATTGACATTGCGTAATGGTCTCGAAATTAAGAAATACTAGCCATAAATCGCCCAGAAATAACCCAAGAAAGCCTTTTCAGTTTTTTTTTGACGTGTGTTGAGTCTATTTCTAGCTTTTTTCTTGGCTTGGTAATGCCAAAAAGCGCTACAAAACTACCTCGAGGCAGCAGGAGATTAATCGAACTGTGTGCTTGATCATTAAATATTATCGTGAAACATTTAAGTGATTAAACACCTAAATTGCTTCTTTCCTTTGATCAATGAGAACGTACGTACGTTGAAAATCTGCTTAAAATCAAACCTTTTCTTCTGCGAAGATGAATAGGTACAAATAAGTCGCTGAAGGAGCGATACACAACTGAATTTATATCCACAGTTTCTACCGGAGTTCCCGTGATCTTGCTTTTCCTGACAAGATCTTCCAAGGAGTTCAAGGAGAAATTTGACGGCTCAAAAGCCTTTGGATTTTTCTCAAACAAACTATCACTCGACCTTGGGATTTCCTCATACTTTTCATCGCTAATTTCATCCTTCCAAAGAGCAACAGCTCAGCATAAACAATGTCCATCTCCGCTGACGATGACTTCTCTCCTTTGAGGAGGTATTTCTTCAGACGTCTTAATTTGTTTAGTTAATACGTTGAAAAGTATGAAAGCAGACTGTACATATAAATACAACTGAAAAATTTAAAAGAGTTATTTCCCAGTGAATTATGGCTAATTTTGAAATATGTCGAGACCTTTACGTACGCTATGATGATTTAGCAATAGACCTTTTACGTAAGGAGACAAGTTTATTGTTATATTTTACAATATGTTTAGTTATAACTCTATCAAAAACTTGCACTTCCCCCGTATCAACATTATCATAATCCATTTATGATAAAAAAGCGGCGAAAAAGCGTTGAGCCGCACATTTCAAGCCAGCAACTTGCAATGTTTGCCTCGTAGCGATCCCAGAAATTTTTGCGTAAACGCAAGGATCCGGTTATTAGTAACTCATTCATGTAATTGCATATAAATGAATGCTACGTGTAGCAGCAAAAGAGTTACGGATCTTCTAAAGACTGACCTTAAATTTGACGTAAACGAAGAGACAGGTTGAAAATAAAATCGCAAATAACAGATAAATTGAAAAGGATAAACAAATTACAAACAAAATGAAACGGAAAATATTTACATTGATAACGCCTAAATAAAACAGTAATAGCGGATAACTTTGGGAAGAATACTTCTGGAACAAAAACTGCGCTTAGTGCAATTTCAATAAAAAGTCATTCTGCGAAAAAGAAAGTGGGTGTAAATACATTTACAAGAAGAGTGCGTAATTACGTGCGGCATGAAAGCGTGCGAAAGGGAAGGTGCTACTGACAAACTGAACAAAAAATTACAGACATCCCACCCCAAACAACGAATAAAACCTCTAACGAGGAAGTATGAGAAAAGAAAAGATTAAATAAATAAACTAGTTCTAAAACTAATTGGAAAGCGCTGGCTTAGATCCTTCAATCTAGCTGAACAAAACGTAAGGAAAGCAAGAGGAGTGTTTGCTTGTTTGTTTTGCACTGTGTCGGCAAGGAAACTTCTTCTCTCTCATTCCCTAAATATTAATTTAAATGTTCAAAAATTAATTAAAGCAATGGACAAAACGTAGTTTTTAGCGTTATAATTTATCAGTTTCCTTGCCGGAACCAAACAAATTAAATTGGGGGAAATCCGCACATAAACAGTTTTTTTCTTGGGGTGATTGGTGATTAGAGTTTGGGTTGGCAGGATTACAAATCACCACATTGTTCGTTCCTTGAATTTTAGTTTTCAAATTTTTCATCAAGGTTTAGTCATTGACAACGAGTAAAGCGTAGAAAAGAACTATCCAATGATCAGTCACAATCGTTCCTTCCAGTTAGGTAAAATTCAACTAGAGAAATGAATTACGTTGCTATGAATTACATTGAAAACATGTTCCAACCTTCTGACTTCAAACTTACATTCCGTACGTCGAGCCTACAAATGCTTAGAACTGCTGACGAAAACCTTACTCGTGTCGTTCTTGTTCGTGTTTCACAGCCATAGTAATAAACGAACTTGCAGAATGATTAGAAAAAGGATTACTCCCATCTGTTCAGTTTTTGATGACAGTAGCTTCTTGTCAATTTTTTATATTGCAAGTGCATCTAAAAGTACATCATTTGTAGCTTGAAATTGTATCCTAATGAACCCGATACAAAAGCCTTCATCATCGTTATGGTCTACCAAAACCATTAATGAAACCGCGATGTCTGTGAAAGGTCACGGAAGCTCACCGGCTCGTTTCTTTAAGTGAGAATGAGTTGATAATACAAATTTTGTCCACTTTTAAGGAAGTTTTCCCACAGCCAATTGACCAATTGCTTTGTTCGATTTGCTGAGTGAAAGTCAAAAACCCAGAAAATGCCATTTTAGTTGGCTAAATGCGGTTGAATTTTGACATATGTTTGAATTTTAGGGCTGGTTGTTTACACGAGGTCTAACCCAAAGCATGGTTTTTCGCAATCAGTGGGTCTCAAGTTTTCTCCATAACAGGGTTGATTTAATGAAATAAATGTCGTTCCTCCGTTAGCTTTCGGCCCTCTTGACTCTGTTCACAATAGAAGTGTTCATATTAAAGGTCCAGCTAAATTGGAGCTTGTTTGGGACGCGGTTTTTTCAAACAACGGCTAAAGCTTTCTTTAGATAATCGGCCCTAATTATAAATCAGTTTTGACTGAACGTAAAAATGGAGATGGTATTTTCAACGTATCCGCTGTATGCGCGCTATCGATTTGTGGTAACTTGAACCCTTTTCATAAAAAAAGGATGATTTCTCAAAACGATGGAATGTGATTGTAGTGCTACTTGGTAGTAATGTTTTTTAATAACTATTCTTCCTTAAAAAATCAAAATAAATGTGGATAGCTGTTTGTGACTGTAAAGCCCTTTGTTTCTCCCTATGAGCGTGACACTCCGAAAAGAGAATAACCAACTTGTATTTTGCAAACAATTTCGGGACGATCGCTTTGAATAATTGTCTTGGTTACCTTGGTGAACGACGCTGCGTGGTGACTGGTACCTGTTGCTTTCAACAAGGTGTGAAAGTGCTTCAACAATGGGTTGCAATTGGCTGCTACGAACATCAATTGATGTTTAATTTATGTGAGTGACGGGTGGAGTCAAATTCATGGCCCCTCCCTTTGGACACATTATGCATTATGAATTCGGCATCCTCTCCTGACCAACCAACCGAAACCATATCGAGGGGACATTTGCTTTTTCTATTAATATTAATTAGCGTGAGAAATGCTTGTGATGTTGCTATGGACAAAGTAGCGTGTTTATAGTTTACAAAAGTTCGCTTATAGCAGCCACATCAAGCATTATTCTCAGAGAACTTTTTTCCGAAACTCAAGACTTTTGTGGTTCTTTATGAGTGGCCTGAAGATACTATAATTACTTCAGAAGAAAACGCAACTTTCCCGCTCACGTGCACGATTCGTTTTTCATCTACAGTGCGAGAGACAGGCAGACAGTTGGAATCAATTTTGTCGGCGCCTATGGGATTTGTAACTGTTGTTATTTTGGTGCTTGGAGTACTTGTAATGTGTGCCACTGCAGGACTAAGCTGGATTGTGTCTTGGTACCCAATGTAAAGGAAACACACACCACTGTGAAATTCTGGGATTTCGAGCGTCTGACATGAGGGACTCCTGGACATAAACTTGTTTGTGTAACAAAAAAAAATCATTATATTTCTCTCCGGACTCATCGAGTGCTTTACTTTAATCATTCCGACGATTTTTACTATTATTTGTTTGGTTGCATGTTTTTTAAGTCGACGGAAGAGTTGATATGCTTCCTTAGTTCAGTTCATAAGTTGTGCAACGCATTTTTATCTGTAAATTCTTAGAATACGAAATGAACCTTCAGCTTCATATGAGGCTGAAACGTTAGCGTAGTTTTCATAAACTTTTACAAATACGTTTAATTCGGGAGGTTTTTTCATGTTACTTGCGAGGGAACTCTTATTTTGCATCGCTTTATTGAAGCTGGGTTTCAATATTAACTTGATTTCAAGTTGCAGGTTGTTATTCACCTAGTACCTGTTAAGATTCCGTTATCACTGTGGTCTTCTTATGGGTTGGAATTCGTAACTGGGCTTCGATGCAGAAAGACTATTTTGTAATCGTGTACTGGCTTGAGAAAAAAAAACATGATAAAAGAAAAGTAGAAGAAGCTGACTTGCCCCTGACGACTAATGAAACAGATTATTAGACATCTGTATAAAAGCCAGAGGAATGTTTAAAGCGTGATTGGGACAGGAAATGAGAAGGTTACATACAGCTCTGTGCACAAATCTGCTTTTACTCTATAGCCATAGGTGACATTTATATGTAACAGTTCTGCAGGTAGTCACTCAATCTCAAGTAAGTGGTTCACACTGATCTAAATGCTAATATGGCTCAGCCAAATTCTCTCCACTACATTGATGTCACTTTTAAGACTCCCTTACCGCTTTTTAACTGCGGACACAAATATGCATTTATATTTGTCAAATGCTGCGATCAGACACTTTCTTACAGGAACGGTCGGGCATTTAGTTCTTAACCATGTAAATTCGTCTTTCAGTAGTCTTTATTTGAGCCTTCAAAATGTTTGTAACATTCTGTAGAGCATCCGCGAGTAATTTCCAATTTTATCGATTGCAAAGCTTGGCTTCGGTAATTAAAATGTTGATGTTTGTGTAACTGCAAGAAGAATTTGTATCGTATATACCGACTCTCATCATCTGAACACCGGAGTGTCCTTATTAAAGAGTTATCGTGGGCACGCTTGGTAACTAGTTACTGTGAGCTTACATTTGCATTGATGACATTTTAAGTTTGAAAAAAAAAGACTGTTAAAAGGGTGTCGAAATGTCCTTGAGGTTTGCCAACGAAATTTTTTGTCGTTAAAGTGGGTGGATTAGTATATTTTTTTTTGGTCGGAAACTTAAACGGCCAGGGCAACAATAGTTCTCGAAATTATGTGAAATATATTCTGAAAGAGCCAAATGTATATGAGGTATGTCCAACTAGCAGACAATCACTCAATAACCAATATCTAAGAAGTCCAGGATTTGTATTAACCCAGTTAAAAAACACCTACCTTAAGGAGGCTAACAATACAATTGCGCCCATATTTTCATTGAAGGAATCCAGCCTTTCAGCTGATCGTCCAGTGCAAAAACAATGTTTTAATGACGGCATTCCGCACTGCAGCTAGTATGTTATGTCAAAATGAATCCGCGTACCGGACCCCTGAAAATTATTTTTACTCGTCGTAAAGTTCGCTGAAGAAGAGTTTTCTTTTAAAAAAAATGGTGCCTTGCTCCTCAATAATTACGCTCCTACGATTCCCATTTCAATCAGCTCCTTAGAAAAACTACGAAAAAAAAAGGGCTCCTAAACCATTCCAAAACCAAATTGGCTAAAATTCTTCATGTTACAGTTCTATATTTAATGAATTTGTGCGACAAATTTCTTCATAAAACATTGATGTTCTCGCCTAAAAATGTTCTTGTACGATTTTCAGCTCTTTAAAGCAATTGGTTTTGGGGAGGGGAGGTTGCCATTTTTTGGTGGCATAGATTGACCTTTTGCATCCAAAATCTTGCTTTGACTCTTCCTTCTTTTCAATGGCATTCTTTTTGTTGTTCTGTTTTACTCTTTTCGCGAAAGGAAAGAAGGCCGAGGAGACAAGGACTAATGGGCACGTAGTTTCACGAATATTTGACATTCTGGCGATGTATGAAGACCTTTTTTTAAAAACTAATATCAGTTCTCCCTGATCCCGTTTCCAAATTTTCTGGAAAAAGATATGTTGATTTAAATTATTCAAATTATCTATTCATTTTAAAATGGTTTTTTCTTCTTTTTTTATCCAAAGAAAAAATTACCATCTGACTCAAATTGCACAATTTTGTGGTTTTTGTTTATAAGTAAAAAAGAAAATCTATTCTATCTAATCTAACAAGGTGCTCTTTTTAATAAGTTTTTCACAGCAGTAGAGCTGAGCCGTAAAAAAAATAATTGGGGAACAGTCTCAGCTCGAACTCTGATATATCACACAAGCACACGTTAGCTTTCGTTAGCCGGGTATCAATGTTCTGTTTCGTAACTATTTGAGTGTCAAATGTTGTCAAATGTTGTCAAATATTGTCACCTACTTCATAGCCTGGTCACCTGAGCTCTTATTGGTTCTTTTTGAGCAGAAATACGCAAAAAAAACAAAAACACCAACAGGGTCAAGCAAGATTAATAATCACTAGTTATTATGTGGTCTATTTTAGACAGCGGGAATACCAATTTAATTGCAACAGGAGACGAATGGAGCAGTAAAAAGGGCAAATTAACAGAAAGGAAAGCATAGTTTATTTGCTTTGGGGCAGTCAAGAACTAATTTTAAAACATATAACCGTGTAACTGAGTATTCACCATGGGTTTTTACAAAATTGTTCTGCTATTTTGCCTCATCGTCACTTTAGCAACACGCTTTCCGGAAGCTGAAACTCGAGCTATTTCAGAGGAAGAATCCCTAAGTAAGTGTTACCTTCTTTGTCTCATTATGTTTTGCAGTTTTCCGTTTTATACTTGTAATTGCTGCATAAAAATATTTCGAAAGCAAAATCCACGGAGTAAGAAAATAGGATTTGGGGGGAATCAATGGAATAGCCACGCTTTTTATTTCTTCAATTGGGATTATGAAACAACTACAAATTCTATCCAAATTAACAGATAGAACTTAAGGTTTTTCGGATACCCGAGCTCGAGGAAAGTTTTCGCTCAGTATTTCCGTAATATGTCTACTGGTATTCTCTTTGTATTTCCTGATTCTGTAGTTTTCTGTTATACTTCGATCATGTGAAAGACGAAAAACAGGCGTCTTCCACGAAGTGTACCTTTAATACTGGGTTATAGCGCCCATCCCAGTTAAGTAACATCACCGTCACTTTGACATAATCTTTTCTTTGAATAATTGGTTAATCTAATTTAAACTACCCCCCACTTAGGAGTATCGAGATAAGAAAATCAAAGAAAACAAAGGGTTTAATCTGCCTCGCAGCGCGGTGCGACCCATGTCGAACGGAACTTGAGCACCCCTCGCGATAACGACTATACACCAGTTAAAAAAATATGACTGGTTTATTAACCAACGGATCCAACTACTGCCTTATATTTGGCACACACTCGGAAACTCTGAAATGTCACGCGCTACGCAATGCATGCATGCGCGGGATTAGATGCTGCCCAAATGTCGTGCTCCTTGCTTCTCTCCTGCATTTATCTGCCAGTTTCGCCGATGTGGACCTTCCCACTCTTACAAGGAATCCTGTAGACTACGCCATCCTGTTTAGTCGGGTCCTACTAGGTGTGATCGTGGCGTAGTCTCTGACTTGAAGACAGCGCGTATGTTTTGTTGTTGTAATCAGCGGTGAAGTTGTTGGGAGAGGACTTTGAGCATACTCAATCGACCCTATAGCCTGAAGAAGACTAGCAGCGTGCACTTAAATCGTCGCGATCCAAATCGGACGTGACCTTATCGTAACACAAAAGATTATATTTCTCTTTTGAAAGTGTTGTTTTAGTCCTCTTAGGACTGTTTCGGTGTGTTATTATACTTATTGTAGAAGTGGAAGAGCCGGATGGGAAGATATTTGGCCCGAGGTCATGGCGTACAGCGAATAGCGAATAGAGTAAGAATAGTCTCCTTGCATGTGCATTATGATAACCCCTTATCTCTTGATAACCATGATTATAGCCAGAAAAACCTCTACATAAACAATTTATAATAAGTATAATTATACGTTTTCATGGGATTTCTTGGGGGTGGATCCAACCCTCACTGGTCAGCATAAAATCAATTTTTTTTGCAAATTTTATTTGCAGTCGAACCAGATGAGGCTCATTTATCAGATGAACGCCGAGCTGTCCCAGGTTAGTTGGTCTTTAACTTAACAACATATCACGAAAGGTGTAAATCAAGGTGTTTGGAAACGATTTTGTGCTTTTTGACAAGGTCAAATAAATTAAGGCTTAACGAGGAGATGACTGTTCAGTTTACACTGATTTGATTATTTTAGAGCTTAATAAACCTTATCCATCCCAAATGCTGATGGCCTTTTGTAGTTCGCACAAAATTCAAGAGGTTTTAAGCTCTATCTTAAGGTAGATCAAGGGTTCAAGATAAATAACAATCAAGAAGCAATCCGAGTACTGTCATACTATCTACACTGCGACAACAAAGCAAGAGTGCAAAAATTCCATTTTTCAAAAAATTTTTGCAAGATTATTTCTCTCATAGTCGTTATATTGTTATTTACCAGCTGATTCAAAACATCCTTTCTGAATACGTCCTTATCTCAAATTGAAATCAGCATATACACCGTGGAATTGAAGCCATATCTAGTTTTGCATAGCTGAACGATGTTTTATTATTGTATGTTCTGCAGCCTATTGTGCTTTTCATTGTTTTAGAGTGAAATTTTTTTCAGGAAATAAGGAAATGAAATAATTTGTAGCTTTGACACACTCACAATATATTGATACATGTAGCTGAAAAATTTGTACTTTGACAAGGATTTTATTTTCCTTGCTTTTTCAAATGCTATAGAAACTCGTTATACAGTGTCGTACTCTTGAATGATATCACAGTTAATTATATATGTGTGTGTATATATATATATATAGAAAGTCTGTGTATTGATTTTTCCGGGGTGTTTTACAGGGCTCGATACGTAGAAGTAGAGCGCGATATATATATATATATATATATATATATATATATATATATATATATATATATGTGTATGTATAAGATATAAAAAACGCGCCAAGTGCATTGTTGAATTATATCAGCACTTGGGAATTTTAAGAACACGAGCGAAGTGCGGAGAAGCACGAGCCGAAGGTGTGTGCTTTTTGTGCTTCTCGAGTGTCCTAAATTCCCAAGTGCCTATATAACTCAACAATGCTCGAGGAACAAGTTTTTTTATTTCTTTTATAAAATGTATCGTGAATTGCGCGCGCCCGTACCGATGACGTGAGCTACGTGCATTATATCTCAACAGTGCACTCATGTGACGTAAGGCGCGTGCTTAATGGAAATATAATGAACTCATTCTGACCAATCACGGCGCGCGTATTTCTCTGAACACTTTATAAATATAAATATGTTGAGAAATCAAATGAAAAAGAATCTTCAAAAGGTTTAGCCTAAGAGAATAGAGGAACTCAAACGTTTATCCACGTAAACTTGGAGCAGTCCCTCCTTTTCGGCGAAGTCCGGCGCGCGGGTCAATAAACCGGAAAAAGATTGATGTCAGTCGCCGCGCAGAACTCTGGGAATGAGGTGTACGAAAAGTAGGGCGGTTTGTTCAAAGATTTCCGTGGAATGCGCTTTAATTTATTTTTGCCGATTTTTTTCACTCGCGCGGCAAACTTCGCCACTTATACCCCACTCGACGTGAGCAGTAAAAGAAAACTATATAATTTTTAGTTATCCGATAATTGTGTATGCAGCAGTTTGGTCTTGAAGCGAAAGTGCTTTTGAGCGGCTGAAATCCATTGAATTCAGTTACAATAATTCTGCCCTCTTCATGATGGTAAAGAGTCAGTATTAACCCACTTCAAAGTTTTTTCTTGATTTATTGAATTCTAATTGATCCTGAATTTTGTTTAAGGTTGCCATGACGAATTTTCGCCAACTTTTTGCGAAAGATTCAAAAAATTTTGCTCTGCCTATGGTACTAATGGCTTCCTAATGAGAACCAAATGCTACTTCTCTTGTGGCTGTGTGAGGTAACGTAATTATACCAAGAGATTATAAACTGTTGAACTATACGAAGATCAATGCTTTGTGTGCCCACATCTCACTCCTCGGCCCACATTCCCCCTCTCCTACGATGTGATTTCGCAGAGGAGAAAGCTGGAACTACCCGGTTACTATTGGTTGGTTTAATGTGCTGTCTTTGCTTTCTCTGGTCTATTCCTTTTACATGATACGGCCGGGCAACTCTGGAAAATTCTGATTCGTTTTCATAGGCAGCCTAAGGAGGTTAGCTTGATGTTAGCCTTATATACCCACTCTCTTTCGTCCTCAATACAAACTGCGCGTGTTATGCTTTAAATTTTAATTATGTACCCTACCCTGCGTGGGCAAAACATCGATGCCAATGTTAGCTTAGAAACCTTTAAAGTCGTGTGTTTTATACCCTCTGAAGCCTTATTTTTCTTCCATAAATTTCCAAATATTCACTCTTGAACGACAAGAAATTTTAAGAGGAAATATGTTTAAACTAAACAATTTTTTCCTTCTTGCAGAAACATCTGAAATGGACTCTAAATTTCTTCCTAAAAAAGAGATACCTCTCCTAAATATGAAAATGAAATAAAGAGCATATTAAGTCAATGCTTTTTGCTTCAATTGAAGTTCAACGTGTGTACTTTCAACTGAATACCATGCATTGAGAGGTTTACTATCAAGGGTCGAAGGTAATCTTACAACTTATTTTCGGAGACAATTGAAATCATAAAATAAAATGGTTCGGACTCCCACGTTTTCATTTCAGTCACGAATTTAATCAGCATGTGGTCCGCGTTTTTAGCTTTAACCTACTTTTGTCAAATGACAATCCAGAATATTCAGTCATTCTATCACATTGAGTGGCTGGGAAAACAGGTGAGACAAACGCCAAGGAATAGTTGTGCGTTTGTTTTCCTTGGACGTCATTAAAAGATTAAGACTAGAATGTTCTTTAAGTTATTCTATATTCACTTCAATTTCCACTGCTTTGAATTTCAGAAAAAGCAAATCATAACGAAACGATACAAATCAAAATAAAAAGAAACAAAGAGAATCTCTTAGAGGATCCTACGGCGTTTCTAGGTATGTGCGCCCACCAGCTCCTCAAACTGAAAATGAAGAATCGGTGCTATCATTGTTGTTCTGTTTTTTTTTTCGGAATATTATTTTTTCATACCAACTACACAATTTGATTTGCGCAGATTTCCAAGGTGTACAGAAAGCCTCCAATTCTCATTTCAAGAATAAAATACTTCGTTATCTTAGGAGTAATCATATTATATTTTTTTCTTGCCTGCGTTTTTTCTTAGTTGTTCTCATATACACCCAGGGTCGTACAGATCATTTGCCGTACCACTTTTGAAGCCAAGGCAGAGTCGTACTCAAACACACAGCTCTGTGATTCAACCTATGACAATGCACACAACATTCTATTTCAGCGCACCAAACCATTTTTTGCCGTCAATAATAATAAAAAAAAAACATAGTGATCTTCAGCCGATGAAATTAAAAAAAGAAAAAAATGGGCTCAATGAAACTGCCTGAGAAACTGCTTATACCGAAGTTCGGCGGCTTTCAGTCGCCTTATGGATTGTTATTTATGATAATTTGGAAGATGAAATGAAACCCGAATTCAATAACAATTTTAACTTACGATCTGTATCCAAAAATATTGTTTTTCCTTTTTGCGGTTGCCAAATGTAAATCAGAATTATTTGAAACTCATGGCAAAAGAATTACCTGGTAGATTTTGTGATCTTATTTAAACGACGGCACCGCCAGAGACGGTTAAAAGTTCTTTACTCAATAAACATAGTTCGTATTTTCGAATGATTAGATTTTTTTGAGGTACGTTGGTGGCTGATAAAGTAAGCGGTCTCCCAGGGTTCAGTGACGAATCTTTACATAAAGAACTGCTCGATCATCACGAGAAGGTTAGCCATCGGTAAAAAAGATTGTTTATGAGCGGACTAGACACTGTTTAACACTTTAGTGTTTAATCAAAACGATTAGCTTCCCCTCATACAGTCACAGCGGCTCTCCATTAAAGAAAGAGCTTCTAAATTGAACTACGACTGTTTCATCGCAATTGCAAAATGTCGCTCCCTTGCTAATACAAGATAGTTACAATCTTGGTTTAAAAGAAACTGAAACAAAAGATTAATACACAATGGTAATCGCTCCCTGGTATTTCGAACTGCTGGACGTTGTCAAAGTAGAAATAACGACCATATGATCTTTCAGAATATTAATTTAATTTTGGACTCATATTTTTGTGCAATTGGGTTTTTACTGACCAAGATGTTTCAGCTCGTACTCATTATGAGTAGAAAAGAAAAAAAACAAGAGATTTCCAAATTTGCTTGACACTTTCCTTGTTTTTTTTCCTCTTTCTTTACAAGCCGGCCTGATGAATTAATAATCACATATGGTTTTTTCTGGGCGTCCCCCAGCGCACACTTAAAGTTAGCAGCACCGGAAAAAAATTCTTTCAGATTGTTTTTAGCCGCCCCCAAGGCTTTTTAATATGTGCTTTTTACCTGGCGGTAAAAATTCTCTGTGAGATACACAGAAGGAGCGGAAACCTTTTAACTTTTAATTTTAAGAACAATCAGTAAACATTTCAAAATTTTCTTTCACTGGTGCATAAAAATGATTCTTTAATTTTTCAAAGAAGTTCTTCGATAGACTCAACTATCTTTGGTCTAATGTGATGTTGCATCGTTACGCTAACTACGTGAGTGAACACAAAACTTCAAATTGAAGATGGAAACATGTCTAAAAACAAATTAATTTCTACCTCGAGATAACAATCGTCTTTTAATCTTGCTGCTAAATAGGTAATTGCTTTTTAATTCATGCGATTCTTCGAAACCTGTAACGAAAAGAAAAACACTCTATTCACACGTTTTAGATACGATGCTTGTCAATGCATCATCTCGGAAGTTCTTTAGGCGGATGTAATCTCTCATTGCCATTATACCGTGGGAACAGATACCTATGAAATTGCGTGTGTGAGATACCTCAGTCCGTATGTTGCCCTTCAGGTAATGCATAAGGTCGATGCAAAGAAAGAAAACTCGAGAACACAAATGTTTTATCACTGTGAAGTTATTGCGGGCCATGCGTTAACCATAATATTGTTTTCGAATTGAATTCAATATCAAAAAGAGTCAGAAATAATTCTTTTTCAGCAACCGAAAAATTTGTAACTGCGGTGATTATAATTTTATTACAATGGCTGTTTTAGTCATTTTGGCTGCGATCCGGTGAATTCCGCAAACCACTGCGACTCTGTGGGAACTGGTTTCAATGATTGCTCCCGCATTTTCTTTACTGTAGTGGCTTACCTCCATTAAACCAAGGTTGTTAGTCAAGGAGATTTTTCATTTTTTTCTGTCAGACTTCCAACAGTCTTTTAATCAAGACAGTAAATAATCCAAGTTTTCTTTACTCTAATGTTGTTTTCAGACAAAGACACATTTTAACAATTACGATTATTAATGCCTGGAGCTAAAGGCTTTTAAAGCTTTTTATTTCCAATTTATTCTTCTGAATTCTAATTGTAGCTTAATTCCTTACCTTTGACTTCACAATAAAAGCAAACTCTCTTTCTCCAAAGTGTTGATTACTTTTCGATATACTCCCTTTCTAGTTCCCGCTTTTTTAAAAGCGGAGTTTGCGAAGGAAAACGAGGTTCCACCTTAATTTGTGTCCTAAATAAAATAGATGAACTAAATCTTTTTGAAGGGCGATTTTTTATTTTGATGAATGCAATGGATCGATGAGGCCTGCAGATTCATATTTTCATCAGATGAGTTAAACTGTTCGCCCACTCTTCGGCTTGTTAATTTGAAAACATCAATAAATATTTTTTCGTTTTTTATGATTCGCACATTATTTACAGGCCACAAATCGAAGTATAATATGGATTTGACAAGTTATTCTTACGATTAAAATCCACCTTGTTTCCGGTGCGAATATTCAATGAAATTCCACGTTGCGACACTGTTAACCAAGGTTTAATATCGTTTTCTTCTAAGCGCTTAATCTGCTTAAAGTTTAAAAACACCTTCAGATTCCACAACAGTATTTCATTTTCCGTCTTATCAACTTTATCATTAGGAATATCGTTTCATTCAGATATATACATGATGAGTTTTGTTCATTTTGGGTCCGCAGCAAAAGATGATAAATCAAGATCTTTAGGGCAGAAATGTAAATGTATTCTTTATGTGTAGTAGCTTAATTTTCGAGAGCCATCGCTAACAATGTAATTTCGAAAACGTTTCTCAACACAAAGTAAATTATCTTTGTTTTTACTAGGAACCAAATTAAATATGTATGAAAAATAATGCGGAAAATATATGTGAAATCTTCCGAGATAAGCATTTCGGATGATTATGGAGAATTCGGTTCTTCCTTTCCCTTTCCTTGGTAACACCGACTTATTGCAGCTGAGGTTTTTAGAACAATCGCTCATCGATAGGCTTACACCAGTTTTGAGAGAGAAAAGAATAACACAGGCATAATTGAACATTGTACAACGATCAAAATGAAACGAACCAGGTGGAGCTATGCTCGTGACGTGAACAATCGATAGCAAATTACATTGGCTAGTTCGCTGTTTGATATGATATTTATCGCTCCACAAAGCCGGACAACACTGAACACTGGAGAGTGGACCGATGACAATCTGGTTTGAGTTCTCCCAGTTTACAAGTGGTCAACGCGAGGTGAAAACATATTATATTTGATTAAACAAAAATATTTGTATTATATATCATACAAGAACACTTCCTGACATTATCACTTAAGTCACTCGTCCACCAGAGGCAGAACTAGACGCAGAAGAAGACTTGCTCAAGTGGTGAGATGGCCTCAATGAAAGTATTAGTTATACTCTTTGGGACAATGCTGGTGCTGATGGAGTTCCAGAAGGCATCCGCAGCTACCTTGTTAGAGGATTTTGACGGTATGATAAAACAAAACTAATTTGATTCTATACTGAGAGAAATTTATTGATCACGGATGGCGAAAGTTCCGTTTTGTGTGTAGTGCGTAACTGGCGGTTGCCCAAAAAAAATAACGCCTTTTTCGTATTATCCTGAATCTCAAGTATACAATCCACCGCATGCATAAAACCTAAATACCTATTACAATAAAAACGACCTCTGAATTTAATATGCCGCGCTGTCATGACTCATGAGACCGTCCGTAAGAAGGGAGAACAAAAACTTAAAGCATGAATTGCGAGGGTAACCTTAAGGATCTTAAATAAGATTTCGTGTTTTTTCACTTTCTTTTTCACACATTTAGATGATGATGACCTTCTTGATGACGGCGGTGACTTTGATTTGGAAGCGAATTCTGATGCATCAAGTGGCAACGGCAACGATTCAAACGACGCAGTCCCAGAAAAGCGGAGAGGTACGATCGAGAGAAAATGAAAATAAAAATGTTTTGTCAAGGAATTTGCTGATAGAAACAAAAACTATTGTGGGAATTCGCAAACGAAATTGCAGCTGTTGGGATTGGTACAAAGTAATACTTTGGCAAAATTGTGGTTGATAGTTGATGAAATTAAACATTAATCTGTCTTCATATCGATATCACACGAGAAGAAGTTCTCATGCCTTAGGTCAGTTTTTCTTATTTTTCTCAAGAATCTAATATTCTGAGTAATTGAAATACCTATTATTATTCAGATTCCCAAATTAATGATGCGGTTTAAAACCCAACGTATGAATTCTTAACGTTCATGTTTCAGTTAAGCATACTGATTCGTGTGTGTGAAATGTCTTTCTATTTTTCGAGAGCTACGCTATCGTCTTGAAGGAATTCCACCGTCCTCTTCTTGATAAAATTTCTTGCTTACACTTGTTAATTTTTGTGTGAAAGCCAAACTGAGTAATCAATCACTTTTAAATTGAATGCGGTTTAAATATCATTATGGCATTTTTCCCGCCGCAAATCATTTTAGTTTATAATACAATGCAGATGAAAGCAAAGGTATTTAACTATGCTTAAGGTTGTTATGTCTTATGAGTAATACAAAGAGACAAAGTAAATATTCGAAGAACAGTCCAGAACAATAATTTGATGGCTGAAAGTACATCAGCTTAACTTTACTACAATCGTGTTGTTACAATCTGAATCAGTAGCCTTGGTATTGGTCATTATTACCTCATCATATTCATCTCATTCATGATATCTTTGTTTATTCCACAGCCTGCGCAGATTTACGCGGGAAGACTTTTTGCCGTCTCTTCAAAAGTTATTGTGATAAAAAAGGCATCAGAGGTCGGCTAATGAGAGACAAGTGTTCTTATTCTTGTGGATGCCGGGGTTGAGATCT